ATAAAAATATAATTATAATATAGTAATAAAAATTCCATGTTGAGTTTTTTTATTTGATCCACTGATTTAACTTAAAATAGTGTAACGTATATTTCACCAAAATGTTATATCTTAAAAATTTGAGCTCCTAGGCAAAAACTAATGCCATATTTGAATTCAGGGCATCAAATTCATATGAAATCAGCTCCAAATACCCCGGCACCAAAACAGCTGTTGGCCTGTGTAATGAATGATTAGAAGCGCTGTGATTCACTAGATATTTTTGTGTTATCAGAATCTGATATCAGACATTGTATGCAAAATCTACTAAGTCGCTCCCAGACGTCTGAGAAAGTTCCTGCCAAGATTTTCTGCAAGAAAGGAAACACAAAGATTAAGTCATGACAACAAACTCTGCATTCAGATGGGTTATACTGCTTGCTTCTTTGCTTAATTCGCATAGTGGGGGGTGAAGTCCAGTTGGATCCACTCGGCACGGCGGCCACTGATTGGTCTATTGTACCTGCCCCGGTTGTTTATGATGATGGAGAAAGTGGTGGAATGAAGATTGGCAGAGGGAACCGAAGTACTCGGAGAAAACCTACCCCAGCGCCACTTGTCCGTCACAAATCCCACTTGACCAGAACCGGGTTTGAACCTGGACCGCTGCGGTGGGAAGCCAGCGACTAACCGCTTGAGTTGTGGCGCGGCTTTGCTTCTTTGCTTACTCTTGTTATTCTTCGACCCCGAAGATGGAGGCGATATTTTCCTTTGAAACGTCAGATTTTCTCATAACTACACATTGTCACAACCCAACTCTTATATCTGTTTCTCATGTTTTAAAATTGGCCTTTCTAAACAGAATGCCCAGGGAATTTATTGAGAGTCCACTAGCTAAGGTAAATATTGCAGAGGTGTGTATCGGTTACATCAGGGCCTTAATTAAAGGGAGACAACCTCCACTCAATACGTCTGACAGTGCACCAGCAAACACTGCCCCGCTACTTGCTGCTGTATATTTCTCACGCGCAAGCCAGAGGTCTTAACCAGACTACAGACGTCGTATCCGAGAATATAGCTATTCTTTTTCAACTGTATATTTTATTTCTTTATTTTATGTTTCCAGAGAGATAAATATCTGAGCCTTTTTAGTCGGGTAGTAGTTAACCGATGTTTCGGAGGAACATAACTGCGTCCATCTTCAGAATAAAACGGTTAGCCAAGAAAACGAGTAATATATACCGTTAGGCCGCGCTATAGCTCAAACGGTTAGTCGCTGGCTTACCACTGCGTCGGTCCGGGTTCAAACCCGGTTCTGGTCAAGTGGGATTTGTGGTGGTCAAAGTGGCACTGGGGCGGGTTTTCTCCGAGTACTTCGGTTTCCCTGCCAATGTTCATTCCACCAATTGCTCCACAGTCACCCTCACCTATCATCTGGGGCTGGTAAAATAGGGCAGAAGTGTCCGCAGTACAAGGGACTTAGTCCCACCCCACTAGCAATAAAAAAATAAAAAAATATATAACGTTAAATCGCGTCACATTCCAGAATATGGTGTTCTTTGCTCTTGTATGAATTGAGAAGCGTCAGAAATATACTGGTGCGTAAAAACAAAAGAGGGGGTTTAAAATTATTCAGGGTTGGTTATCTCTGTTGGCCTTTTAAAGCCAGACATCCGGTTCCAGTGGGTCTTTAGTGCAGACAGCCCCTCAGATAATGGCAGTTAAAATGCTTCCTGCTATCCGGCTATTTAAAACCACGTCTCTTACCTCCAGTTTTGCCTTCGTCTCTAAATACTAATTCCACAATTATTTAGCTCTTATCAGGAAGCGACACTGAAAGCCCACATTATCTACGCTGCATAATTTTACTAACTAGATACCTATATTATCTGCTATGCTTATCTTGCAGACTCGTTGGGGAACGAGGCGAAATTTGTTTCCGTCCGTACCGTTTTTATAAACAGGATATCTTCGGTCTAGAATTTCTCACATAGATATTATACTGGGATATTGGGTGTCTGAGTAATGGGGCAGAAGTAAGATCGAAGAAGAGAAGTAGAAAGGAGGAGGGAATAATAAAGGAAGTCACTGCAATCTCACACTAATTCAGAATTTGATTTCTGGTGCAGATAACTTTAGATATTTCCGCACCCAGAATCAGTTAATGAGATCTGAGGTTCTCGTTTCTTGCCGCGTCGGTGATTGTTAAGATTATGGTGATGTGACGCCGTGTAGTTTAATAGATAGGTACCAAGATTAGGAGGAGAATCCTGACCTCATATTCAAGTTACAACTCTTCTTCCTGGACGTGATGCTGTGTAATTGTCACGTGTGGTGTGTGTGACTTACAGACGGGTTTTTATTTGGATGATTAGGTTTATTGACACCCTATACACACCACTCGGAACTACAGTCACTTACAGCGCTATCCCTGTTTCCACTACTCTTCATTGTTACACACACTATAGTCCATTCGCGGAGACGAGACAGTTAGCGTAAACAAACCAAGCCCCGCGTCGTCACAGCTGACAGCAAGGAGTGGACAAAGCGCGCAGTTACTTCAGTGTACTCACTGCATTCGGACGTACGTTAACCTGCATTCAGACTGAACAGTGAACTTTGGACGCCCCTGCAATTGTACACGCATCACGTGATCGCTGCATGATTTCATTCAAAGAGCGAAGGCGATACCGCGTGCATTTGTTTACGAGGACTCTCTCGTCTCCGCGAATGGACTGTAGTGCCCTCATTTTATTACTTTATCCAGTAGTCTTGTCCTGGCAACGGATTCATAACAGTCAAATTTAATTTAAAATCACACATGAAGTCATCTTTGCACAGCCTAATTCCTTTCTTGCCATTATTCTGCCAACTGCCAACTCTGCAGACTCCTTCGGTTCTCATTTTAGCTGCCCGAGATCCTACGCGCTCACGCGCAAAACCATCTCGCCAAGGAGGATGTTGCATAAGGACTATGACCGCAAGGGTTCATTTGAAAAAGAAAAAGTTTCTGGTCGTGAACCTCAAGGGGCTTGACGCTAAGCCGAACTGATTGACGGTAAACCGTCAGTCGTAAAGTAACTTCGACTTTGACTTTGATTGCGAAGCCCCCATCTGGTGTCGAAGCTAAGAATGAGTGAAGATTTATCTCTACCTCTTCCATGCGGTTCTACTGTGTGTTGCTACGCACGCAGATCTTTTCTTTACAAATGAATTTAAGAAGAAGAAGTAAATAACACAAATAATTGAATAAGGCACGTGTAGAGAATTGAAGCCGTAGAAGTAGACGGAGAAGCCTTCAAAAAGAACGCCTTGAATGTGTGATTTATTTCCGTTAATGTCACTACTTCAGCATACAGCCTACCCTCGTTATAACAGAATCGTTTCTGGTTGGGGGGGGGGGCGCACATTATTGCCGATGTCCGCAATAACCGAGTGAAAAGGTATTCACGGAAATACACCGCAGGTTACATAGTCAATGCACGCAATGAACACACAAACACAATGTGATTATAGATTTACATGTTATCACGTGATAGAGTGTGACTGTAGACAGGTTTTGGATCGGTGAATAGATTTATAGGACACTTATGTACACGGCTCGTTAAGTACAAAGAATTACAGCGCCACTGCACAATACGATTCACAAAGTACTACAGCATCCGCTAAGCCTTTTTCCAGCTTGCAATGTCGTCACCAACCGTTCCTTAGCAACGGCTTCTGATATTGGAGATTCTTCACCTCCACGCGATCGGGTCCACGCTTCGCAGCCTTACGTGCAGA